CATCGGCGATGCAGCGCGATCCTCCGACCCCATGTCCTCGGCCCCATACAGGAGGCCTCTACCCACGCTTCTGTCAGTCGAAGAAAGCTGCGTAAACATCAACTTTGGACGGTCCGCGCGGATTTCTTGGATCGCTGGGCCCCGCCCTGGCGGCGCCTCTCGCTCCCTCTCCCGCCTCCCCCTCCTCCCTCTTCCCTCCTCCCTTGCCCCCTCCTCATTTTTCTTCGCTCTTCCCTTGTCCCTGTTCGCTCTTCGCTCCTGGCTCCTCGCTGCCCCTTTCCCTTTTGCCTCTGAGCACGTCCAATGTCTACTTCCTCCCTCCCTCCGTCTCGTTCCTCCCTCTTCCGTTCCGGAAGAGTCCCACGACCTCCGAGGACCATCGACAAGGCCTAACAATTCCAAAGATCCTGCAGACATTCTGATCTTCCACGTTGAGAAGGAAAATGATGATGATCATGATGATGATGATGAGGAGGAGGAGGAGGAGGAGGAGGAGGAGCTGAGCACTGAGTGGGTGACCCATGGGCTCGCGGGGCAACGGCGGGGGCTCCAGTACCTTCCCGCGGTAGCAGTGGCCCGTCGGCGCGCTGGCCCGCCTCGTGGATCCATCTCAGCCCATCGACGTATGCGCGCGTCTTCCACGGCAAGTAGGGGTCCGACGGAATCCGGAACTGGGACACGTCCTGGTCCACCGTGCTTTTCCAACGAGCTTGACGCTTCTGGAAATCCTGGAGTAAATGCTCTAGCAGTCAAGGAGCACGTTCTTGGCGGATACGCCTTGGAACGGGTTGTACGCGTGCCAAGCCCCCCGTTCAACCCCGACGAGCGTCGTGGGTGGGCCCTGAACCAATGACAGCACTGCTCGCAACCTCGGGACACTTGAACTCCCCATGGCAAGGCGCGAAGGTAAACAGCGAACAGCAAGGAGAAATTCCAGGCTCCCTACATGATTTGGCTCAAGAATAGTTCTTTCCCTTGCAGACAAAGCGCCGAAACAAAGACCGCTTTGGGCTCAGGAGAGGCTCGGGCTTTGGAGCCGTTCATCAGGCTCATGTAGTGGAACCTGTTTGTAGCCTGGGCCCGTCGTGTCCAGAGCAGCCCAATCGTTCTTAACTGTTTGTTTAGCACCATGGTTGTAGTGAGCAGAGAGGTCGACTTCTAGGCTCCCCACGAGCACAGGTTCAGCTTTACCTCCTTCGCTTGTGCCAGTCTGGCAACCACCAGGACGCGTGACAGCTCTCCTGGAAGCGGAGTCGCCTGGTGCTCCATGAACGAAGGGATGCCAAGCAGGATGCCTCGGGCCGAGGTCGAGAAGTCACCCGCGGCGCTGGGCGCCCGCGAAAAAGGTAGAGAACACGCATGCCCCTTGCACCCCACTGGTCCGGGAACCCTCTGCCCTCCCGTGTGGGCTGACTCTCCGCGCAGCCCTCGCTCCTCCCCCTCCCCCCGGTGCCCCTACCTCGAGGGCAACGCTAGGGGGGGACACAGGCTCAGGGGGGCATGCATCGACCCCCACTCGCCTTCCATCGCCGATAGGGTCCCGATAGCCCGCCGCACAGAAAAGTGCGGATTGGCAATGTGGGGCCTACCGCCGATCTATCGGTAACGTATCGCCAATTCCAGCTCGATGTTTCCCCCCTGAGGTGGTCGCAGCTGATGACGTTGCGAAGAAATTGCAGCGTCGCCAACAATCACGACCATAGTCCTAAAAACCACATTTTTCTGCAACGTGTTTCGAGCCAGATCGATCCGTGATGGTCCCAGGGCCCGACTCTGGGCGAAACCGCCAGGTGCGGAAACTTTGCAACGCTTGGATCTCAAGGATTCCTCCTCCCCCGCAGGTGGCCAGGGACACGCGGCGGCGGACAGACCGCGGCCCCCGCGGCCGGCGCGGGCGGCGGCGGCGGCGGCGCCCGACGCCAATTCGATGCTGCAGGCGGGTGCCTTCCTCTCCTGGACGGGCAGCACGGCTTTCCGCCCCTTGCGCTCGTGCCCCGTCCCTCGCTGCCGCCAGCCTCGCTCTTTCTTCCCTCGAAACTCGGCGGCGCGCTTGTGGGGAAGTGAGAGGGAGCATGCCTTCTTAGAAGGCGGCGGGGCATCTCAGAAGTCCTCCGGCCTTGTGAGAAGTCTATTGTGCCTTTGGGAAAAAGCTTCGAAGACTTCTCAGAAGGCGCGAGGGCTTCTGAAGAGCTCCGAGCCTTCTAAGAAAGCCTGCCCCCTCTCACTTCCACCTGGGCTCGCCGCCGAGAAGAAGGACATCAACTTAAACTTTCGGAGCTCCGTGCGGATTTCTTGGATCTATCGGCGCTTTGCCCCCGTCGTTCAGAAAGCCGATCTCGCCCCAGCGCGATCCACTTTTCTGGATCCGAGTTCTTTTTCATCCTTGCCGACCCCCTCGTTCCCCCTCAGCCTTCCTGGTCGTCCTGCTCCTCCCGCTCCTTCACTCAAAGCTCCTGCTGCTGCTGTTCGTCCTCGTCGTCCTCCTTCCTCATCCCCCGTCTTTTCCTCCTGCTCATTCGCCATCTCGTCCTCCAAAGTACGCAGCTCCCTTTCAGTAGTCCGATTGCGCATAGCACGATAGGGATCCTCTTTGGAGTTGCAGGTCCGCTATGATACGCGCCTGCGGACAGAGAAACAGCGCAATGGGACGGGATGGGTGGGAGGGGCAGGATGTCAGATGTGACGCGAGCTCGCTTAGCCTGTCTGCTCCCTCCCTCCATACCCGCCCCGTTCCTCTCCCCAGACATGCTACATGCTCGCGGCGCGAACACATCACGACGGGAGGAGTTTGGCCGCCTTGGGCCTCTGGGGGCCCCCTTGCCAGGCCTCGGGACCGTCGAAGCACGACTCGGGATGAAATTCGTCGTCGACGTCGTCCGCCTCCTCCTCTCCCTCCTCCTCCTCCTCCCCTCCCTCCTCCCCTTTCTCCTCCTCTTTCTCCTCCTCCTCCTCTTCCTCCTCCTCCTCCAGCCGTTCTGGCACAGGCAGCTTTCAGGCTTGTCGACCCAAGGGAAAGGGTCGGGACTCCTGGTCTTCCCCTCCCTCCCTCCCCTCTCCCCTCCTTTCCTCCCTCCCTCTCTCCCTCCCATCCTACCTCCCTCCCTCCCTCCCTCCCTCCCCTGGCAAATGTTCCTTCATGGGACCGTTTCGATGACACCTGTGTCCCGAGTCCCTCCCTCCCCTTCCTTTCCTTTCCTTTCCTGTGCTTTCCTTTCCTTTCCTTTCCTCTCCTTTTCCTCCTCCTCCTCCATCTGGCGAGTCTCTTGGGGGCCTCGTGGGTGCTTGTGTGGGGCCTTACTGTGGCCGTGTCGAACCCAGGTTGCCCAGTGGGACAGGCCCCCCCCCCCCCTCACAGCGCGCGAGGGGGCCCGACGGGACAGCGACTCCTCTTGCTCCTCGTCGTCCTCCTCCTCTTCCTCCTCCTCCTCCTCCTCCTCCTCCTCCTCCTCCTCCTCCTCCCCCTCCCTCCTCCTCCTCCTCCCCTCTCTCCTCCTCCTCCCCTCCTCCTCCTCCTCTCTCCTCCTCCTCCTCCCTCCTCCTCCTCCTCCTCCTCCTCCTCCAGCCGTGTTCTGGGACAGGCAGCTTTCCTGCTTGCGTTAGCCGACGTCTGATTTTTCAGAACGGCACGCGTCAGCGAGTCTCGTGGCACGCAATGGGGCTCGCCGTCCGTGGGTTGCTTCGGAGCCTGCTGCTGGTGCCTCTCGTTGAGGTCGCCAGAAAGATGAAGGCTATCGAGGGAATGCAGCCACAAATTAACGATATGGAGAGAAGACTCGGAATCATGCAATCCGTTGAGCCAGTCCTCGAGAACGCTATCAAGACCCTCCAAAAGGTCGTTGATGTCAGAGGAATGGGAAAGAAATGAACGCCTCATTCATCAGTTTGATGAGCCTTACTCCAATTTTTATCCCCAGTTTGCCAGGGAGAGTCGTCTGAGAAAACCTTCTCAGATGCTTTTCCTGGTGGACTTGTGATAAATATTTAAGTGTTTTAAGTAAAAATAATAGAATCACAGCTTCAACTCTTATTATATTTTCCATTCACCCACTTATATAAATATTTGCAATAATTAACAAACTTTTATTTTCACAACGGAGGGGTTTTGGGGTTTTGGCCCAAGTGGAAGTGCAGCTCTTGTGGATGTGCTCGCAGCCTTGGCGACTGGTGGTTTTGCAAGCACGGCATGGCCCCATGGTCGTCATCTTGCAGCGAGGTCGCCCGCGCAGCCGCTGGCGAGGAGGCTGGCAAGCCCGCGGCGCCCGCGGCCGCCGCACCCGCGCTGCAAGAGCTCAAGAGCATGGCTCAGAGCATCGGAGGCGCCGACCTGGTCCAAACCACCCAGTCCAAGGTGGAGACCGCGGAGGCAGCCGAGCGCGCATGGACCCCGCCACTCGAGCAGCAGCTGTCCTCAGCTCACAATGTGTGCCAGCAGCTGGAGCGCAGGTTGGCACGAGAGCCGGATCAGCTGGAGAAGTGGATGCGGTGGACCGACGAGAAGAAGGTGGGCACTCGCGACCTCCAGGCGCAGCTGGAGGAGGCGGAGGCCAAGCACAAGCGTCTCATCGGTGAATTGTAGACCCTTCGCGTAACCCCACCAGCTTTGCCTCTTGTTTTCCACCGCCGGCAGCCTGCCTCTCGGGTCCGTGCTTCTTAGCTAGCCGGGATGGCTGCTCGGAGTCTGGCGCCGTACTGGCGACTCACTCCGTTTGAATGCAGAGCATTTTGTTCAGTGCATGTGCAACTGCACGCATTGTGCAGGTGCGATCTGGCCTACCAACGTGTCGGTCGGGGTCGCCAATTCGCTATGTGCCGCCCGCCCCGGACATTGCATCTCGCCGCCAGACCGTTGTCGCGCGGCCGCCGACCCAAAAAAGTAACCCCACCAGCGACCGTAGCCCCCCCTGGCTCAAGCCATCTGGTGGGCCTGCTCCTCTCCGGCGCCGCCCCAGAATCCCCGGAAGAACTTGTCCAAAGTTGCAGGGGGTTCCGGTAGCCCTTGTTCCAATACTTTCCCGTAGAACGTGTCCCAGAGGCCTTGCGAAGTTCCCCAGAAGGTTCCCCAGGAGGCCCCTGGGCCAGGTTGACGGTTGACCATTCCAGGATGACTCCTTGAGAGCTATAGGGGTTTACCTCGTAGAGCTCTTCGACGAGATGAGCTAAGAGGAATTCGGGCCGCGCTGGGCGCACGTGACGCACCTGGCACACCTGGCGCACCTGGCGCACCTGGCGCGCCTGGCGCGCATGGCGCAACTGGCGCGCCTGGCGCAACTGGCGCACCTGGCGCGGCTGGCGCGCACCTGGCGCACACCTGGCGCACCTGGCGCACCTTGCGCGTCTGGGGCACCTGGCGCACCTGGCGCCTGGCGCACACCTGGCGCACCTGGCGCGCCTGGCGCGCCTGGCGCACCTGGCGCACCTGGCGCACCTGGCGCGCCTGGCGCACCTGGCGTACGTGGCGCATCTGGCGCACTTGGCGCACCGGGCGCCCAAGGACCTGGCGCACACCTGGCGCACATTTGGCGCACCTGGCGCGCCTGGCGCATCTGGCGCACCTGGCCCGCCTGGCGCGCCTGGCGCACCTGGCGCACCTGGCGCACCTGGTGCACGTGGCGCACGTGGCGCACGTGGCGCACCTGGCGCACCTGGCGCGCCTGGCTCGCTAGGAGCACCTGGCGCACACCTGGCGCACGCCTGGTGCACCTGGCTCACTTGGCGCGCCTGGCGCACCTGGCGTACCTGGCGCGCCTGGCGCGCCTGGCGTACCTGGTGCGATCTGGCGCACCTGGCGCACCTGGCGCGCTGGGCGCACCTGGCGCACCTGGCACACCGTGCGCACACCTGGCGCACACCTGGCGTACACTTGGTGCACACTTGGCGCACCTGGCGCGCCTGGCGCATCTGGCGCACCTGGCGCGCATGGCGTACCTGGCGCACGTGGCGCACGTGGCGCACGTGGCGCACCTGGCGCACCTGGCGCACCTGGCGCACCTGGCGCGCCTGGCGCGCTTGGCTCACCTGGCGCGCATGGGCTTCTGGGAGGCTCAGCGGAGGTACGTCCTACGCAGATCACCACTATACCATGGCGCCGAAATGTCCTTCGGTATTGAGTGGTCCTGAATGCAATTGTCACTTGTGTAGAAAGGGTTGGGTACGTCGCAGGATAATTGTTTGGGCCGTCTTCCTCGTTTTTTTTTCTGGGTCTATCAGAAGTGCGTTCTGACTTGATATTCCTGGCTGATCCAGCCGAGGTGTCGAGGGCATCAGGGAGGCCAAGAGAGCCGCAGAAACGCCCCAAACTTCGATCTTCCTCATTCGTACGATTCTTCCCAAGGACAGCAGTCATTGGTCCCGTCCAGGACCACCCGCCGCGGTGGCTTGCAGCACGGGTTGCATCCCAAGGTGAGGTTCAAGGGGTGAACCCGGCTGGAAGCCAACATATCTTTGATTCAGGGCCCTGCCCCGCCCTCCCCCGCAGCGTGGTGTCCCGACCAGTCTTCCGCGCTGTGCCCAGCCTTGGCCACGGGCCCCCCAGGCCATGCATCGGCGACGTCGGCGATACATCGGCGACGTCAACGTGAAGCGAATCGGGCCCCACATCGCGGCGCATCGCCGATGCATCGGCGATGCGGCGCGATCCTCCGACCCCGACCCCAGCCTTCACAGGGCAACGAGACTTACGAGTCTCGATACAAAACGGTTGGCGTGGGAATATGTAGCCTGGCATGCGGAGCTTGATCCGATTGCAAGAGGACGCCCGCAGCACCGACCAACGTAGCGGTGGTCAGATTGCATATTTTGAGCTTCCCAGAGCCAAGGACACGAGGCGGCCGCCGAAAATTCGTGCACACTGTTACGTGACTTCGACAACTGGCATTCTCTGGAGAACGAGTTTGTAACCTCCTGAGGGCCGAGGCACGCACGAAGGACTGCACGTTCGCGGGTGGGGCTACCCGAATCCGTAACGCCAGCGGCACCGACCGACTCCGAGCAGCGATGAGCGCTCCCGCCCCGCTTCTGGTCGAGGTCCACCGGTCGGCAGCAGCTTGAGCTGCGCCAGGGACGCGCGCAGGCGCGACAGCGGTGTCAGCCTGTCTGTCCCGCTCCGCGGCAAGGCGGCCTACGCCTCCTACGCCATGGAGATGGGGCACGCGGCCGCGCCTGCCCGCTCGCCGTCCTTCCCGTCCAGGCCCGGGGTGCGCGAGCAGGAGCATGGGGGGAGGGGGGTGGCGACTGGCAGCTTGGTGAGGAGGAGGAGGAGGAGGAGGAGGAGGAGGAGGAGGAGGAGGAGGAGGATGGAGGAGGATCTCGGCGTTCGGCGAGTTCAGTGTGGTGGCTTGAGAGTTTCGGACAGGCTCGCTTGCGGTTCCAGACAGGGGGAACAGGATGAGAAGGAGGAGGAGGAGGAGGAGGAGGAGGAGGAGGAGGAGAGGAGGAGGAGGAGAGGAGGAGGAGGGAGGAGAGGAGGCGGAGGAGGGGGGGAGGAGGAGGAGGAGGAGGAGGAGGAGGAGGAGGAGGAGGAGGAGGAGGAGGAGGAGGAGGAGGAGGAGGAGGAGGAGGGAGGGAGGAGGGAGGGGAGGAGGAGGAGGAGGGAGGAGGCGGAGGCGGAGGGAGGAGGAGGAGGAGGAGGAGGAGGAGGAGGAGGAGGAGGAGGAGGGAGGAGGAGGAGGAGGAGGAGGAGGGAGGAGGAGGAGGAGGAGGAGGAGGAGGGGAGGAGGAGGAGGAGAGGAGGAGGAGGAGGAGGAGGAGGAGGAGGAGGAGGAGGAGGAAGGGATGATGATGATGATGATGATGAGGAGGAGGAGGAGGAGGAGGAGGAGGAGGAAGTCGCGGAAGTGGAGAGGATGAGGGAGAGGGAAGGGGGACGCGCTAGGATAATCTCAGGGGCCTGGAGACGCTCATTCAACTTTTCCACCACAATTCATCGCAGACAGTTGCCGTTCAGAACTCCCTTGGTTCCTTGGCTTGTATTCGTGAGATCACAGGCAGGAGAGTTTTGATGACAGCATTACGTCAGGGAAGCCGAATGATCGAGTAGCGTAGCATGCAGGCCGATCCGTCAACGCAATTATCGCCCAGCTGTGTAGCGGATCGGAAGATAGCATGAACATCAAGTTCGTAATGGCAAGGTTTCAGGACCGTACCTGAAAATAAGTTATGTATGAGTTGCAATGGACATGTTTCAGGTGCAGCTTGCCGGGTCGTGCTGGTTCAGCTCCGCTCAAGACAATGTAGCAGCGCCAGACCCATGACATAGGATGAGGAGAGCAGCGAAGCCGGAGAGACTGGCAAAGAGAGAACACCCCGAGTGGAGCTCGGAGGATGTACTTATAACAGGAGGAAGAGGACAGCAGCAGGTAGGGCTTGGAACAGCAGTTCCCTCTTCTGAAAAGAACATCAGCGCGCTCCTTTGACTCAGAGGCGATCGATGTCCAGGTTGCCTGATGGTGGCTTGTGCACTGAGAGCAGGAGCGCGTAGCAAGAGGGAGGAAAGGATATCAGGAGGAGTATGATGAGGAGGAGGAGGATGGGAGACGAGAGGGGAGGAGGACGAAGATGAAGTGGAGAACCATAGTAAGCCCAAGATGAATCAACGATGCTGCAGCACAGTCTCCCGTCTCAAATCCCCTCCGCGGAAGTCCTCATAAGTCTGTGACACCACGAAAAGCGCCCCATTGAATGACCATCGCGATTTAGGCCTGCCATTCAGGCGATAGCTTCGTCCTGAACATGGGTTCCCTTGCATCTTTGTATCGTGTAACCAGGAATGCGACAAGGTATGATAATGCAATCAACGAGGTGTCCAGTGGCATCCCCGTGTCGAAAATAGCGCCTCCATTCGTGTAACTTTTATACAAGTTCACAGTATTGAACGTGAACTTCGATGAAGTGCCAGACGAATCTTCTGGTTCGTGAACTGCAGAAGATCTCAAGCGATGACTCCATCATGAGAAGGAACCGCACTCACTCTTTCTAGCTGACGCAAACACTTAGGATTCATGTGCGCGACGATAAGGTGAGAACCCCATTTCGAAAAGGAGCCGCCTTTCATCCGTGTAAATGTTGGAGGCTTTCCCTACGAATGCATGCGGCGCTAAGGCGAGATAACCCTTTGAGAATGTTTCTGAATTGCTTGGGGCATGACGGGCGTCATGGCCCCCGCCCCCCCCCCTTTGACGTAACGCTCCCCCCCTCAGTGCGTTCCGGGCATTGGCGCTGTGCGCATCGGGATCCGCATAGGTGTCCGCATAGGAATCCGTATAGGAGTTTGGTGCACAGTCGCCGTCGTCGTCGTCGTCGTCGTCGTTGTCGTCGTCGTCGTCGCTCGTCGCTCATCATCGTCGTGCGCGCGGACGCGGTTGAAGCCTGTCTTTTTATTCCGGGCCAGTGACGGCAATCATTTGGGTGGGGTGGGGTTTGGAAGGGTCCGATGACGTCATGTTTTGCGCCGGCGGCGTCTGGGATCGGAATGCCTAGGAATGGCCGAGGCCAGGTAGCAGCAGCATGTATGTGGCGAGCTGCACCACAGCGCTTGTGTACACCACAATGCCTGCGTGCACCACAGCGCCTGTGGACACCACGCCGCCTATGTACACAGCAGCCGCGTGCAACACAGCGCCAGTGTGTGCCACAGTTCCTGCGGGCACCACAGCGCTTGTGTACGTACACCACATCAACCGTTTGCAACACAGCACCATTGTACACCACAATGATTTCGTGCACGATAGCGCCTGTGTACACCGCGGCGCCTGTGTGCACCACAGCAACCGTGCGCAACTGAACACCGTTTTTGCATACATAATTTTAGAAGCAATCCTGATGACAAAATGGAGCGCTTGTGGATTTGGAACGGAATCCTTATGGAAAAAGGAGCGCCGCTGGAATCTACGAGTCCTTCCCGAATCCGCCCGCATCATCCTACATTTCACTCTCCTCCTCCTGCCTCCCTCCCTGTACTCTTTTGTGCGCCGCCATCTCGGCTCACAAGGGCCCTTGAGCTATCATGGCGCGCCGTTGACGGACGCGCCTCAGCTTCCGCATACGGAGAAACACGTGCTCTCTTCTAGCACGGGCCCCCCCTTATTGTACCTCGTGTCTCTCTGCATCCATACAGCTACACCCGTACAGTCCACAATGGCAGCGGAACCTGTGGTTGAGATCCACGAGGGGAGTCAGGTCGAGTCCCCTGTCATTCGATTCTCGGGTGGCATTCCCTATGCTCCGTATCCCGTTCTTCCCGTTTCCCACAATCTTTCGCCGAGCGCAGCCATGGATCCTCCAGACCACGTTCAGCCTCAAGACGATGAGCTTCCAGTAGAGCTTTGGTTGCAACCAGGACGGGATCCTTGAGCAGGACGCGGAGGACGATAATATGGTTTTTTTTTGGAAATGGCGATGTGGGCTGGTCAGATCAGAACATGGGCCGCTGGTTCTCACAGCTCTGGACGGAGACACAGCCCAACGCGCTGTTACCATCATCAGGTTGGAATGTGCGGGGCCGTGGTTCGCCGTTTGCACCAGATCGGCTGAACGCGCCTGTGCGGACGCAGGCTATGCCTTTTACTCTTTTGTCTCCGACCTATTGGGAGGATGCCGCTTTCGGATCTTCTGATCGCCAGAAGGGAGCAATTCCCTGAACAATCGGAGGCCACAAATATGCCCAACGACCTGCCTCCCACCTCGGATGGGGAAGATCTTCGTGCTCGCTTAGAGCCTTCTATGAAGGGGCGGCATATGTGGTTCGCTACTGCCAGAACTCTGAATGCACAGCGCGGATATCCGAATTACCGCTACGCCAAAGACGACCTCAATCTCAGAAAGAGCGTGTTCTACCGCTGCTGGCGGAAAACCGGGGGGTCACTGCCGGTTCGAACCCCTCCCCCCCCCCTCTCCGGAAAACCGGGGGGTTCGCTACCGGTTTGAACCCCCCCCCCCAGTTCATCATGAAAAGGGGGGGGGGTCACTGCCGGTTCGACCCCCCCCCCCCCCTCCTTCGAAATTCGGGGGGGGCCACTAACGGTTCGAACCCCCCCCCCATCGAAAACCGAGGGGGGGTGCGGACAGTGGTGGGGGCGGTGGTGGTGGGGGCAGTGGTGAGGGGACAGCGGGGCAGTGGTGGGGACAGTGGGACAGTGGTGGGGACGGTAGTGGTGGGGGCAGTGGTGAGGACAATGGTGGGAACAGTGGGGGCAGTGGACAGTGGTGGGGACGGTGGTGGTGGGGATAGTGGTGTGGGGACAGTGGGGATGAGGTGGGAACAGTGGGACAGTGGAGGGTACAGTGGTGGTGGGGACAGTGGTGAAGGCGGTGGCGAGGACGGCGGTGGGACAATGGGACAGAGGTACAGTGGGGACAGTGGTGGGGGCAGTGGGGGCAGTGGTGGGAACAGTGGAACAGTTCAGTGGGACAGCGGAGGAGTCAGTGGGACAGTGGGGACAGCGGGGATAGTCGGGCAGTGGTTGGGGCCGTGGAGACAGTGGGGAGAGTGGAACCGTGGTGGGAACAATGGTGGGGACAGTGGGGACAGTGCGACAGTGGTGGGGGCACTGGTGGGGACAGTAGGGACGGTGGTGGAACCAGTGGGGACAGTGGTGGTGAGGACAGTGGTGCTGGGAACAACAGTGGGGGATGTGGTGCGGACGGTGGTAGGGACCGGGAGTCGTTTGCTGGCGGTGAGTGGGGGAGGGTGGGGAGGGGTTCGAACCGGTAGTGACCCCCCCTCCGGTTTTCGAGTGGGGGGGGGGGTTCGAACCGGTAGTGACCCCGGCTTTCGGTTTTCTAGGGGATAGGGGGGGGGATGGGTTAGGGGAGGGGGAGTGGGGGGGTTTCGGGGGAGGGGGGTGGGGGGGGGTTCCAGCAGGGGGGGATTTTCGGAGGGGGGGTGGGGGGGCGGGTTCCGGAGAAAAGGGCGGCAATTTTCCATAGTAAAGCGGCGGTGGATCACGTTCTCTCCAATCTCATTATCAACAGACTCACCGATGACCAGTTGTCTTCGGAGGACAGCAGGCAGGATGTGGTCAAACATACTAAGAAGGCGTTTGCCGAATGACGAGGCCGCAGGATGCCGGAGGCTTTCGAACATCTTTTCTGACACCAAGCGTAAGCGAGACGAATCCCTGGTCAACTGCGTCGCGCGTAGGCGCGTGCTTTTCCGAGAACTCGAGAAACGCATGACTATGCCGGGGGATC